TAGAGTCACGAATTGGAAGAGTTTAAAGATAATGATATGTGGTGATATGAATTTTGGCTATAGGAATATTGTGAATGTTGTATATAAGGAATTTTTTTTAATAATATTTAGAATTTTTTTTCTTAATTCATAGTTTTACTTGAATTAAATTATGATTTTGTATTTTTGTCTTTGTTTTTTTATTATATTATCTTCTATAATTCACTTTCGTGCAAATACATGGGTTGATTATTATTAGTTTATGTAACTTATGGTATCAATTATTTAATTTACATTTGGAACCTCCATTAAAATGTTCCTGCAAACAGGGTCAGTAAAATATCGTTCAAATTACAGGGATGAAATAAGAACTGTATAATCAAAGAAATCTAGTCGAATACAAGTTACACATAATTAAATGTCATGTGACAAAATTATATATTAAATACGAGATGCCCTTGAAAATAAATAAATGTATATAAAATATTATAAATCAAGATTTCAATCCATACTTAACAATTTTATAATTTATCTGTGTGATCCCCCACTCCAAAAATATTTTAAAAGTAAAAGGAATGCTAGGAAAAATATAAACATATGCAGCAATTTTTGACAATACATACGTAGTTTTAAAATAACCTTGATTGATAGACCAATCTTGTCTTCTTAACTGTACCAATCTGTATTAATTAATTCAAAAAAAGTGTTAAAATTGTCACAGCTTATATTTTATTCACAATTAACCACAGTTTTTGGGAATTTATCATCTAAATTTTCGTTGTGGCCATTTTTTCTCCTTTATCCCATCTAGACGTGGTTAGGTGCCGGTTCCCAGCCAGGCGCGGCCCGGCCCGCCGGGCCACGGGCCTACCAACACATAGCCCGCGACCGGCCCACCTAAAAACCAAGGACCGGTTTTCAGTACCGGCCCGATCCGCCGGTTCACTTGACCCGGCGGTTCACGGGCCGGTACGGCCCTTAAAAAAACTTTAACAAACTGGCCCATCGTCCGACCCGGCCCGACCCAGCCCGAATCGACAGGTCCAAATATAATAAAGGAATCGGGATCGAACCGCGGCCTTACGGGTCCTAGTTCGGGCCGAGGCGGTACCCGATCGCGGGTCGGGCCACGGGCCGGCCGCTGACCATGTCTAATCCCATCACCGAATTTATCCATACTATTGTCTCCACTGTATTGACGGTTATTTTAATATTATTGCAAGAAGACCTGATTTTATTAATTTCATTGTCTTGCATAAACAGGCAAACATGGAAAAGAATATATTATGGAAGATGCTACGGTCTCATTACGGAACAATTCTGTCAGGGTTTGTAACCGTTAGATCAACTATTTCTGACGGTTACATGAAGTTACAAACCTCAATAGAATGGTTCCGTAACTAGATTTTAGTATTTTCTTTCTTCGTTTCCTAGATATTCTCTTGAAGAGTTTTGGGCCCACTAATTGGGCCTCCTAAGTCGTCAGTTTTGGTCGATTTTTGACAAATTAAACTTAAAATAATCTCGATGTATTAAGATTTAGCAAAATTTGATTTTGGCCGAGTAGATGCATTTGTTTGTTAAAAATAAAAATAAAAATAAAAACATTCTGTGAAAAAAAAAATGAAAAAAAAAATGTTTGATAAAAGGTAATGTTAAAAAATACAGTATAGACTGGGAATATGTTATATTGAATCACTACAGTTACAAATTACCTCATAATTTTTTATTTTTTTTTTGATAAAACTAATTAAATTAAAACTACAACCAATATAGGTGATAGTCGCCAAAAGCTGGTAATTGTTGCTTTAATTAGCTGATTGTATTAGTTGTTTGAAATTAACTATTTGATAAATGACAAATTATATAACTATTTTGAAAATTTTATGTTCACATGTTATTCTACGAACCATCTCTTTTCAAAATGATTGTGTATGAGCTTTTTCATAATTAACGTGTTTGGTATTCACAAGTTAAATTTTATGTAGTATTTTCGATAAATTAATATAGGTAAATTATATTACATTACACTTAATATTTTAATTTGTAAATTGCTTATTCGTGCATAGCACATTATTCGTACTATATAGATGAAAAGAGATAGTATTTGCTAAAAATAGTTGCACGTAAAATCCGCCAACATTAAATACATACTAGTTAAAAAAAATTAGCAAACACGAAATAGATTTAAAAATCTGATGTGTTCACTTATCATAAGCAAACGTATATTCCAATATTTTTATTTATCATAAAAGTATTTATTTTTTGGGATAATGCTCCTCTACCCACGGTGGGCATATGTTAATATGCCCACGGCTTAGGTGGCATTCACACATTGGTGATGTTAATATGTTCAAAAAAATACATCACCAATGTGTGCATGCCACATAAACGGTGGGCATATTAACATGTACCTACCGTGGGTAGGTAAGCATTACCCTTTTTTTTTACCAGTGTATTATCACGGGACATATACTAATTTAATAGTATAAATATTTTTATATTTCTACATATATATATATATAAAGGTTTGATTATTTTTTAAGTAGTAACTATTTCCCGCAAAAAAAAATATTGTTTACTAATTCTGGAAACTATTTAAACATTTTATAGTATATTTTAAAGATACAATTTAGGTAATTGCGGTCAGTTTATTAAGGTAATAAATCACATAAAAATTTCTTTTGTACCTCAAGATATTCATATCATATATTTGTACATATATATCCTATATTTGTACCTAAAATATTGAGATTTATCACATTCCTAACAAACATTAGATTTACTTATATTTTTTTAAATTAATTACAATCAATAAATAATATTAATATACATTAAATATTTATCATTATATAAAAAAGAAATGTTACTTCTATAGTTATAAATAATATTGACATTACACGACAATAAATTTTTTAATAAAATAATATTTGAGTATTATGATGAACCAAAATATGTAAAAATATTATTTTTTTGTATTAATAAATAAATATATATATTAAAATGTTATTTATATTAATATAGACGGATTAACGGGCTAATACATTGTTATAATAAAGTTTTACAAAAATACTTTACATTACGAAATTTTCGTGCATCGCACGAGATTTTCACTAGTTTTTAATAAAAAATAATGAATAATTGACCGGTTTAATCATTATTTGGATTACCGTAAGCATTTGTTGTGCCCAAAATGTATTCTTAGAGCATCCACAATGTTTGGATTAAAACACAAAAAAAATTGTATGCCACATAACAAATAGACCTAATTTGAAAAAATGTATTCTCCAAGTCCTGCTGATGTAGCAGCCAGAAAATAAGACTCGATCTACTCTTAAGTCTATTTTAGACTCAAGTAAAGACCTAGTCTCTTTTCATTGGAGTGAATTTTATCAGTTTTACATAATTTTATCCTTGTCATCAAAGACGTGAGTTTATTTACATGTCACTTAATAATAAGATTATATTGAATGCCATTGAAAGGTCTTTGGCCCTAACTAATTTGGTCATCTTTCAAATTCGTTTCATATCTTTAGTAAATTTATTTTGTTTTATTTTCTCTTTGGTTCAGGCGTTCAGCAGTCAATGCCGCCAGAGTCCAGATTCTACAGATTCCACCAGCGACGCCCATTTGCAGACAAGACAGCAAAATCTAATTTGGTGGACAATTTTACCATTAAAAAGAATATTTTATATTTACAATTTATAAAGTGTTGTGTTTGAAAACTAATAAAAGAAAATTATCACATAATTGCATCATCATGACACAACTAGACATGTTGAATAAATCCTACAATTAACTCAGTGCTTCAAATTGTTCGATGTGATTAGATAAATTGAGCCATTAAAATTTTGGTAGACATGGCCGGTTCCGACCCGGCACGCAGAACCGTCCCGGAACCAGTCCTGGACTGGTCCGGATTTAGCTGGTTCGTTGAACCGGAACCTTGGCCATGCAGGTCGGTTCCGGTTCTTCAATTTTCTTTTTGGGTCCCGGCAGTCCGAGCCGGGCAGGATTGGGGAGCGGTTCATAGTTCATTTTATATTTTTTATTTTATTTTTTTTTAATAAAAACTCGGTGGTTCATTGGTCGTGCCGGTTCACTTGAACTGACCCAGATGAATAACCGGGCCAGTTACGGGCCCAACATATGAGGCCCGACAACCTGGCGATGAACCGGCCGGCATTTGGCCACCTTTAAATTTTGGTAGTCACTAACCAAATTAATAACTTGTTTATTTAGAGTTAGAAAAAGAGAATTTAAATCTCTTATTTATAAAAAATAATAAGAATAATAATAATAATAATAATAATAATAATTCCCAAAATAATCAATAAGAAATCAAATCTTCTATCATAGATGAGTAGATATATCTAAATTCATTTGGATAAAAGCCTCTATGGTTATGTATTTTTGCACAAGTTATAGCTGAACCAAACTAATTTTGTAGATGCTATATCTAACTTTTTTTTTTCCTTTTTTTTTCACTAAATTTAATTTGAGTTTGCAACAAACAATCGTGTGTAAGATATAATCCTGCAGTTTCCTTGTTAGTAAAGTGCAACTTCCTTGCACTTTCATTACACTTTCATTGCATTTTATTTGTAGCTTCCTTGCAGCTGCAAAGGACCTTCATAGCAGCCCCTTTAGGCTGAATTTTCAGCTTTAGTAATTTCTAGGAAAGTGTTGAATAGTAGCTTTTAGTTCCTATAAATAGGGATGTAGTTTTTCATTTGTAAAAACAACACAGATAAACAGAAAATACTCAATACATTGAGTTGTTCAAAATCTTCTTCTTCTATCCTAAGTGTCAGTTTGTATCGGAAGCATTTTTGCTTACCTAAATAGTGAACGAGCAGGGACTAACATCGTGTACTTGAAGATGCAGCATAGAACAAAATAATGGCAACGTCTCATGACAACAACTATTACATTGTAGTCTCACACCGTTACTAGTCAAATACAAGGATTTAGTTTTACAGTTAATTGGCCGCCGTGAAATGTGAATAATGTGATGAGATTATCGACGCCTGCTCTTTGTCTTGCCGATTCGTGTTTTGCTGCTCTCGTCCCGTGGCTTCCAAATAATATCTTCAAGATTGTTACAGAAGTTCGTGTAGAACTGCAAGAACAGATTATATTGGAACTCTCAGAGATAATTCTTACAAACATTTTTTTTTCTTTATTTTTCTATTATTATTGCATTTGGAAGAATACCTTGAGATATTCCTCAGCATCTCCAGCTGCTTTCTGAATGTCAACCATGATAAATGCGGGAGCAACTTCAAAGATCTGTTCGACAAAAGAGTTGAGAATACTCGAGAGGACCGTGAAGAAAACGAATGAAAGAAAAAAAAAAAAAAAGATAATCCGCAGGTGAGAAAGTACATTAGTACCTCCATAATTACAGAGAAATGTGAAGTCCTATCCGCAGAAAGACCTTCAACTCTCATCTACACGCAGTAACTAATTATATATAAATCCGGGAACCAGAAACTATTTCGAATTTAATCAGTTGTTAACAGTTAGGTTGATAAGTATATAAGCCAATAAATGATTTTCTTCACCCAACAGTTTTTAGGCACCTTATAATTTCGAATATGTGTCTTGAAACCCATCGACTGTGCAACAACTTCCATGCTTGATAGGACGACTTTTGCTGGCCTTTGCGAAACAAAACGTGTTTGATGTTTCAGTGAATCCTATAAAAAAAAAGGTGATTATTAAACAGTTACAGGCTTACATCATGAACTTTGATGCTATACAAGTCAATATAATCATTTTCACCTTCCTGCGGTCAAACAATGCTGAAAGATTCAAGCCCTGAGAGAGGGTAATCATGTCGAATGCATTGAGAACCAGAGGTCCCATATCTTCATTCCCATATTGCCGATCAGGTGCTTCTTCCTACAAAAGTAACAATGTACGGAAAAGTAAGAAACAAAACAGAAGTCACAAAATCAAAGAACACAAAAACAGGATCACCAGAAAAAACAAAATAAAATTAAAATAAAAGGGATGGAGTAATATGTGTAATGTGGTTACGAAACTATTATTAGGAAAAGAGTGTACTTTGCCGAGAACCACAAGCCTACTTTTTATTACACCTAGTGCAAGAAACAGCTTTAATGCCCCATGTTAAGGGAATTTAAGATCCAGTAGTTCAAATTACATGCAAAACTAATTTGGAACAAAGATGTGCACTTCGAGACCTTAAGTGAACCAATTGAGACAAAGAAATACTGATGTATGCTAATGTGTTTGATATTAACATTTTTTGTAGCCTTTTCTTCTCCACCAAAAAAAGAAGCAAGAACCATGACCATTTATGATGGGAAACTGCACAGTGTACATGTACTGTAATGCTAATGATCCATTAACAGCTTAACCTAAATCAATAGTTGGTAATTAAATAAAAAAAAAAAAAAAGAACAGCGGAAAAAGGTGGGACTGAAAGCTTGCATTAGATTTAGATACAAGTAGTAAGCAAAGGTTTCCTAGGCCAAGACGACCATGATATAAATAATCCAAGTTTAGCAAAACAATTTAAGCAACATAAACTAATACCCAATTCCCACTTCTACTTAAAAGAGTTAACGTAAAATCACAATGCCGGGAAACTGCAGCAAATCTCTTATGCATTTGAGGCTTGTTGATGAACTTTAACAATGAAAATATGATCCATACTATCAAATATATTTTCATATTCTTTCATTCCAGTCCCATCCTGAACTCAAAGATGAGAAATGATAGCTGCTCCAAGACAAGCCTAAAATGACTAGCACTGTAGCTTTCTGGCCATAATCATAATAAAAAAGAGGGTGATATTTCCAAGTACTTCATTACTAATCTGGATAATGAAAAGTAACAGTCTGCAAGTATAGTCAACTTCACAAAAGACCAGTTTTAACCGCAAAAGGAACAAAAATAAGTTTAACAACAAAGTAATCCCATTTGAATTTTCATTTCACTCAATGAAAAAACTTGTTGATCATTAAGGTGGCAATCGAATACAGTTTTTTTTGTTTTTTTCATTTTCGTATGTTCAGTCATCTCACTGTGACTGAAACTGGAAATGAAACAATACGACTAGCAGAACCGGACTAAAATAAAATAAAATAAAATAAAAAATAATCAGTACTACATATTTTGCAACAACACTATTCATTCACTCACATATTTCTAGCTACAAATCTTATGAATCAATGTTTTATTATTTTTATATCACATCACCTTAATCATTACATTTTTATCTTATATTCATCCGCAATCTCAATTCTATCTCACTTTTTCTCAAAATAACTTTTTCCACCTTTTCATCTATATTTTCAGACGAAACACATTTCTCTTAAGAAATTCTTATGCTCAGTCGCAACCTGAAAACCTTATAAGAGAGCCAATAGATATGAACTTTTGATGTTAGTCACTTTGAGAAAATGTATGCACAGAAAAGTGCTTCATGTAACTGTTTAATCATAAAAAGAGGAAAATATTGCTTGTGGCATTTTCAATAGAACTCTAAGTACAGAAAAGTACATGGTGACTAACCTCTGGATCATCAAAAGCTGCATTAACATCATCCAAATCAACGTCTTCAGCAATAGGAAGTCTGACTGGGTTATAATTCTTGTTAAACCACTCATCATTTCTGATATCTTCAATCCTAATACGCTGCACACAATTATTAGGAGGATCAGCATTACAACAAATTGTACATATCTCATGATGAAAATCACACAAACATTTTCATAATTCAATTTGAGCATTCAGTTGTCAATAAGCACTTTATTATATTTTCTCCTCCTTTTGTTTTTGGGTTGAGGGGAAGAAATAACATACATGCTTAGCAAGTGAATGGTGAAAACATTGATAATGCATTTCATACAGTGTTGAACTATGCAACTGTAACGATAAGAGAAAAATGATACAGACTGCTATCCTTATCAAGGAGCACACTTAACTGTTTCAGGGTTTGGGTCTAATATTCTCTGGATCAAAGATTTTGCTCCAACTGGGAACCAGGATGGGCATGAAAATTCTGCACCCTCAATCTGCACAAGATATTAAATTAGAATAGAGATTAGACATATAATTTGCAATACGAATTTCCAATACACAATGCCAGTATTGAGGAGCCCACCAACAGAGGTGCATGTGTGTTTCCATGTTAATATAATTGCACCTACTAAACAGAACTAAAACCTATAAATGTGGGTAAATCATCAATAAAACATTACAGCTAAGTACCTTCCCATACAGAGTAGTCAGATCAATCTCATCAAATGGAAGATAACCAGCCATCAAAACATAAAGGATGACCCCACATGACCAAATATCCGCCAAAGCACCATTGTAGCCTTTATGACTAAGAACCTATAATTCAAAAGTCAAGTACAACTAAATCGAAATCCTGTCATCTTAGCATATAGATATTAATATAAAAGGGATATCTCAATAAGTTACCTCCGGTGCAACATAATTAGGAGTACCACAGGTTGTTCGCAAAACACTGACTCCCTATTAAAGAAAATAAGGGAAAAGAAAAAAAAAATTATCAACACCATTTATTGAATAGATAGTTTAACAAATTTTTAGGAGAGATCTTACTTCAGCAGGAAATGCACTAAGACCAAAATCAGAGATTTTCAGATTTCCTTGAGAATCAAGCAGTAGATTTTCAGGCTGCACGAAAGAAAAATTCAGTGAACTTTAAGTTTAGAAATAATTATAAGATAACTACTGAAGTACACCTGGAGTTTAGCTCAATTTTGGGAAAAATGAGAAGATGAAGATGAACTATTTAAGTATTTAACTTACAAAATTACTAACGCCCATTTGAATTTCTGTGTTATTATCTTTTAGCTCACTCCTATAATCGAGTGTGATATGTAAAAGAGAAATATGTGACCACAGGTATTTTTTTATCTTTATAAGAAAACAATACTTCTTTTTCCTGTCCAAGAAGAGGGTAAAGCTCCAGTGAAGTATTATGTAAATACCCTAAATTACACAATCTTTTTAAGAAGAAAAAAAAAAAAAAGAACAGAAAGAACAACTTTTTCGAAGGAACACCTTTAAATCTCTGTGATAAACTCCCTTACTGTGGCAATAATCCACTCCATCAATAAGCTGCTGAAAGTATCTTCTGGACTCAGATTCACTAAGCCTCCCATGTTGCACCTGCCAAACACGTCTATTTATCACATCTAAACAACAGCAGCCATCTGAACACCAAGACCCTTTCTAAAAAATTCAACTCATTAAGGCAACGGTACTCACGATTGTATCAAACAATTCACCACCTGTGATGAATTCCAATATGATATATATCTTCGTGCGGCTTGCTATTACCTAACAGGACAGTCAATTGGCACATGCACAAAAAGGTTTAAGACCAGATTTCATGAGAAAACCACATAAAGCATGTACATTGATTTGGAGCGTCACCTCGTGCAACCGGACAACACACGGATGTCTAACACGTTTCATAATGGATATCTCCCTCTTTATCTGCAAGATAAAAAGGGCAAAACAAATTATCAAGTGAAAATGAATCTCTAAAATGGTTTTATGTAAGAAAAATAATAATAATAACATATAATATGCAGAATTAGCTAATTCTAACTAAACTTTTTAACAAAACAAGTCTTTAATTCAGCTGCTTTGAATCCCACTAATCATTACAGCATGAAACTTGATATAATGTTGATTGATTTTGACATAGACAGATATAAAACCGTACGAATATCATCCTTCACCTCATCTGTTCACAAAAACGCTTTAAATACGTCAGAAAAAACAGGAAAGAAATTGATTGTTTATATTGAAAAAGAATAAAAAGAAAAGAAACTCTCAGCACAAAAGTCCTCCATTATTAGATCAGCTCAATCAAACCATCTTCCCCACGTTAATCCTTTCCTATCAATCTAAAATCCAACCAAAAATGTAGTAATACAACAAAATTAATAAACCCATAGGCTCACAAGTACACATACTCCTCATAGACAATTCAAATCAAACACAAATGGTCCACAATCAAAGTGAAGCTCAGGAATCAGAAAACAACCTGATCGACCATCTTGTGCTTTATTATGGTGGAGCGATCGAGGACTTTCATGGCGACACTCTCTCCCGTCTCCGTATTCTGCGCAAACTTCACCTTCGCAAATGTCCCTTCTCCAATAGTCCTTCCCACCTCGTACTTCCCTACTTTCCTCACCACCATTTTTGCTGCTCAGAACAAAACAACAGATGCTCTTGGGCATGCCGGTAAGAGAATTAGCAACAGCTTACACGCCGAGCTTTTTGACCATCAGAAATCGAAGATAAAAATTGGGGGTTTGGGCATGTGGGCTTGGGGGATTAGGTTTCCATGGCGTGAAGTAGAAAGTGAGACAGTCATTTGAATGTAGCTACTGTACAAAAATGGAGTCTATTCAGGAAAAATGGGATTTGTTAATTATAATATACTCCACCACCTTTTGGACTTACTCCCTAAACTAATTTAAAAAAAAAAAGTACGGCTGTTTTACGGCGGCGGCGGCCGTCTGCAAACGATTGTTTCACGGCAGTGTGATGGGCTGCTCCGCTGTGGATGAGTGGGAATGTGTAGATTTGTGTATTTTCATCATTTTGTGTAAAAAAGATAAGTTGGGAAGTTGAAGAGATTTTTTCTTGTAAAATGAGCCTCAAGCTAAGAGAAACTAAAGTTAAATTTGGTAGACAAATAATTATAACTTATTTAGTTAGGTTATATGTTTCATGTATTTAGATAAAACTTTATTTGATAGGACGAGTTTATTAAAAAGTTCAATCTGTATATACTATATAGTTTTTTAAATAAACTCGTTGAAATTTTTATTTCAGCTAGTTTATCAGCTAATTTTACCAAACACTTTAATCATATAAGCTAGTTTTACAGCTATAAGTCATAAGATATAAGCTAAAAAATTACTGAGAAGCTATAAGTTAGTTTTATACCGAACATAGATTAAGTGATACTATAGAGCTTACATAAATGAAAAATCCCAGCTCAAACGTCACAAACTAATGTATATTGCCATTAAAATTTACCCAAGCCTAATAACCAAGCATGTAATTTTGCCACATAGGATTCTGAAGCACCAGAAGTAGTCACGTAGGCTCAACGCGTTCTGGTGTAATATATAGAGGGATTGTCCTGCTCGAGGAACAGTAACCAGGCCATAATTACTACAAATAGTCCTAGGAATCCATGAGAAAATGGGACACAGAAAAAATTTGTGTAATAAAGACATATATTCTCACACTTCATACACTTAAGGCAAACACATGACCTCAATTAGGAAATTATCCGACATTAGTATTACTTAATTTTACGTAAATTAATCGTATTACACCAAGTTTTAATATCTAATTACCTTATTACTAGTACGTACCCCGTGCGATGCACGGGACAAATATATTAAATGAATTATTTTTACATACTTGTCCGTTTAAGTCTAAAAAGTAATAATTTTATTATCTATTTTCTACCTATTTTAATCAACGTTAAGTTTTAAAAAGTATTAAGCCGCCCTCTGGCAAATATGTATGGAGTTATGTGTTCGTGTCTCATAAGTCACAAACATTATGAATAACATTATAAATTATTCATTCAAACTTTTATTGGTTGCAAATATATTAAATTAGTTTATATAACAGCCATTTAATACCACTTTCAATATATTTATAAATAAAAAGTACATAAAATTTCTGGTGTGTTCAAATTCTAATATTTTTTTTATGGGCTCAATTTTAAATCATCCAGACATTTGGTCAAACGCATATGTGTTCAAATTTAAATTATTGGCATTTTGGTCGGTTGAAAATTAAATCTTCTACTATGGTACTGTGATGTGTATTATATATATATACAATTTTTTAACAAATAATATGTGCTTTATAAATATAGTAATAATAATTCACAAGATTTTAAACGTAAAATTTGGTTTTTAATCACAATAGAAAAATCATGGTAAGTTGTATTGAAAAGGTGTTATAAGATAAAACAATTAACTAAAATAATTAAATAAAATACTTGATGAAAATAAAATGCATTAATTACCTTTGACTTTTATTGCTACTAATTCTAGTAAATAGAATGCCTTTTAATATAAGTATAGATTTGCACTTAATCGGTGCTTTTAGTTGATAAAATTTGATTATCAACAGTTTGGCGCTAGGAGGGCCACATATTGTTTAAGGCTACTACTCGATGTTAGAGACACCACATCCACAGTCAGCACAACAACTCTCAAAACAACCAACGAAAAATGTTGTCATCAAGCTAAGAAGCAGTGTCTCAACCCCAAATGACTAAGCAGACACGTACGACGGCTCCCGCCATGGATTTCACGAAGATGTTCCAAAACCCAAAAATTCTTAAAGGTATAGCGAACCTTATGACGTTGGTTATGCCTTCGGCGTCTCATGCACCGCCACCGCTGCCGGTGTTTGACATGCTCAAAACGCCAGTGAAGAAAGTCGGTCAGTGACCAAACACAAGATGAAATCCCTTAACCCTTCAGGTTTTTACCCGATTGGGTAAGAAGGAGGCCGAGCGAGATCGATCAACCAGGTGAGATTCTGACGAGGTCAAAGAGAATTGTCAAGCTCGAAGCTTGGCAGAAATATAGGGGGAAGGCTTCATCACCACCCGTTTTCCTCAACCGACCATGTCGTCAAAATTCACCACTATCATCCGACGTCCTACGCAGCCCTCTGCCGGACAAGATTAAACTACCTCTAATCTGACTTTATGACGACACCTTAGACCCAGACTCGTACCTCTGGCTCTACACGTCGTGGATGGACTTGCGTGGAGTCGGAGACGCCCTCAAATGTAGAAGGTTCTCGTTGACCATGTGGCCAAAAGCTCAGAGGTGGCATCACTCGTTGTATCCCCACTCCGTTTTGAGCTGAAAACAGTTGAGGTTGGTATTTCGATTTCATTTCATCGGGTCCCAAGTCTGCATGATTCTGAAGGAATCGATCACTAACATAGTCAAGGGGCCGGGGGAAAGCCTTAAAGATTATGTCGCTCGGTTCAACGAGCAAGTTCAGAATAAGAATTCGAGTCACCAGAAGACATTGCTGGTGTCGACATACTCTGGTCTAAAACCCAACTAGATGTTCATGTGGTCACTAGGCCAGAATAAGCAGACCACCTACCAAGAGTTTCTATCACGGGCTCAACAGTACGTTATGGCTGAGGGGTCCATGTCCTTGCCCACCTTCGAGGTGCCCAGAGATAAGACCATGAACGGGAAAGAAGCCAAACAAGCTTGGGACCTGACAAAAGAAGCCAAAAAGCCCAAAACCTAGGTCTCAGAAAACAGCGACAAGAGGAGCTGAGAGAAAGTTGTCAAGGAGTATTACTCAGTTGGGTCTGCAACACTATATGAAGAGATCAAGAATGAAGGGAACCTACCCGACCCGAAACCGATGATAGCCGATGAGAGTAGGCTTGATAAGTCAAGGTATTGTGCCTACCGTAAATTGCATGGGCACAACACCGACCAATGCTGAAATCTCATCTCGGAATCGCTAAAGCTGATCAGAGGCCCATTAATGAAAAAGTTCACGCAAGATCAAGAGAGAAGAAAGAGGAGCCGATCAGAGGGTGGTCCCGAAAGTGATGATGACATGGACATCTACCTGAGAAGGCAAAGATCCCCACCGCAGAAGGAATTCCTAACATTTTATCCAGCCCATCAAGAAAAAACTAGTTCATTTAGCTCAAAAACGCAGTCGATTCCCAATATGACCTCAGCGTAGACGCTCCTTACCAGTTCGACTTGTGAGTACGAACCGGGGAGGACCAATTCCGTCCAGGAGGCAGACCAAGGCCTATGCCCGACGCGCCTACAATGCTGGGAAGAAAATGCAGAACGTCAATTGCCGACTAGTGCTCTCATTGAACTCAAATCCAATTTTCTTCACCGACGAGGATGCATTTCTATTTAACCACCCGCACACGGATGCACTAAATCTCAAGCTCGGTCACGTTGCATGATGACTTTGTAGGCCCGATTTGCACATACAGTTGTCCGACCTAAATGTTTCTTCTGCTTCTAGCTCAGCGCCCATCTGGTTCCATTTCCAAGGTTCGCTCTTACTCGTCTTCACCCGAGTTAAGTGCTCTGCTCGACTGTATCGTTATTCAACAGTAGTATCTAATTATGAATCCATCCAGTTCAGCTCGGATGTCAACACTATACAAACCACTAGGTCACGTGCGAGCTGAGAGAAACTTGAGTGGTTCGATTAGGACCAACTGTTTGGCCAAAGGTCGGAAAGCATGATAACTCGAGGTTGAGAGAACACAGGTCGATGAGGTGGTGATTGGTTATAAGTTGTGATTGGATTTTTTACAATCACAACTCAAACTCAACTCAACTCCAACTCTTCTCGATATTATCAATATAATTAAACAATACCAATCAATCATTCTCACACATCACATCATCTTTAATTCATTAATTATCCACTCACATAATTGTAACTACCCATAACTTTCAATCATTTATATCTTATTTTTACATCAAATCAACTTTAATCATTTTATATTAAATATTATTTTAATACAAACGCAAATCCCATTCAAGCCTAACTCAACTATTTTTTTTAAAAAAATAAAAAAAAAAATCAAAACCGAAATATCCAATCATAACTTATATCCAAGCACACCCTGAGGGCCTTCGAGACAACCCAGTTCAGCAACTTGTCGAGCTAGGACTCTAAGATAGTCTGGTAGAAACTCGACCTGGAAGTAAAGAGGTCGATTAAAGACTTCAAATGGAATTACTCGATGAAGACCAACTGTTAAGTAGAAAGAAAACCGAGTTGGTAGCCCGAGTATGCTTTACCAAATGAGGTAGACTAATGTGAACACACCAGATAATGGATAAGTACGAATATAATTAGATAAGAAGTACACGCGAATAAGGACATGTGTGTAACAGAATTGGGCAGTCCTGGCAGTCGAACAATGTGATTGGATAGTTTGGGCACACGGGCAGATCTTGGGCAACAAGGTAACATCTTTATATAAATGGGCGAGGTGTGATCATCATCTCTGTCACATTCTGAGCATTCTATACTTACAAAAATACTGACTTGAACGCCAGAGCTTCTACGCAGACATCAGAGCTTCTATGGCGGGACAATCACCAATGTTTTCTAGGGCATTTCACCAGTTCAAAGACAGGTCGATGGATGTCAACAGAGTTGAGGTAGTTTAAACTGCCATGAGTCACCGATTCAACCTTCGAATCACTAGATCAATTGATGATCATGCAACTATTACATAAAACAAACAAGTAACATACAAGTAAACTTTATACTTTCAAATCCTTAATAATATTATATCTCATCATAAATATTTACAATATAAATCTATGCAATAATTTTATTTTGAAATTAAATGTATTAAAAATAAGTAAATTGGACGATTAATCAAGATTGACCTCGGTGGGTCAATGCCCGGGTTGATCGAGTTTTGATGCAATCGCTCGAGATTTGGCCGTTTTCTTGCTAACCGGTGGAATTCAACCACACCACTTAACCAAGTCCGAAGTTGGTCGGATCTCAGGTCTACCCGTCGGATGGTCCAGATAAAAAATGCAACAGGTTACTGCATTTTGTATTTCATGAGTATTTTGCATAAATTTGGTAATTACAATTATAAAATATAAAAGCTTTTATAAAATCTTACAAGTACAGGGTATCTTACAAAAACTATTACAATTATAAATATATTTAATGAGTATCTTAAAAGAAAAAAAAATTCTACTATACTCACAATGTACAAGAGTCACAAAACTTAAAAAGTTACCAAAAAGGGTATAGCGATTAGAATTGAATATAATTCACCTATTCATTAATGAATTATAGTCTAATAAAGTCCAAGAAAAATAATCGAGTCTTAGTCTTGCCAAAACTGGAATTATGTTGTTTGGCGATAACATAGACAAATTCAAGAATATCTGAATAAGTAAAATCTGTGGGCTAATCCACAAAAGATAAAGGCAATTAGCAGTTTATATTAACTGCTTTGACTAGCGGATTACGTTAGCTGTTTTGACCAGCTGATTGTGTTAGCGGTTTGCAAAATAGTGTTTGGTAAAATTAACTGCTTTTAATTAGATGTTAACATGTAAAATTACTTATATGACATTTATTCTTCAATAATCTTATTTATTTAATATAATTATTTAGAAAATACTTATTTCTTATATTTCAAATATTTGTAAAACGACTTAAAATAACCTAACACAAATAAGAAATAACAATACATAACTATGAAATGAAAAATGTGAAGAAAATTCTAATTTGACATGATAAAAAATATTCAAATAAATAAAAGAAATGAAATGAAAAAAAACATAAAAATGTAAAAAGTCGCATATCAATTATCAACCTTTAATCTTACTCTTCCTAATAAAACCAAATAACTTCAATTTTATTTTCTTCAACTAAAAAAAAAATGCAAAATGAATGAACAACGAAGGCATTCAAAGCAACAAGAATCCAAACATATGCGAAATCTATGGCCATTGAATGCAAGTAACAAACAAAAATGTTGCAGTCTAATTTTTTTTTTAAGAAAATAAATTGGATACTAAAAATAATTAAACTCTCTCAAATACAATTAAATAATGGAAACCGCTATCCTCAAACGCTCCTACAAGCAGCTTTTGGATTTTAGCGTTTTAGGGGCAAATAAGCTTGTTGAATCAGCTAAAAACCAAACACTTTTAATTAGCTGGTCAAAATGTCAAAAAAGCTAAATGGGTCAAACAGCTAAAATATGGCTTAAACGCCAATAACCAAACACCCCCAAAATAATTTTACGTTCTCACAGCAAATCGAAAAGAAAATTAATCGAATACAACAGAAAACAACATATAAACCATCATGCAGCACGCGATAAGATGAAATTCACTAAAAATGAAAAAATCACTATAAAAAACAATACTATAATTTGCAACAAGAAAATTTATCTAACTGAACTATAATCGCAGCAAAATCGATCATTCCCATGAAATGCAGCTAGTTACTTCACCACATCTAAACAACATTTTTTCTGACCAAAAGTAATCCCTGCTTTTTATCTTACTTTAATTTTCAAATGTTTTTCGTTTTTTTTTTCACAGCTACAGTCCTCTAACCTGTTAGCACTTAGCAGCGGAAAAGAAAGAAACGGCGTCTCATTGTCTGCCCATTTGTATCAACTGCAAAGGAGATTTCAGCAACTTCTTCAAAGTATCAACTATCTCAATAAACGAGGGTCGTTGTCTAGGGTCACTGCAAACAAAACCATTATTTATTCGCAAACACTTTGTTTATAAAAAACACGAGCACGAAAGAAGGAACAATAGCAATAGTGTCTTACTCTGCCCAGCAAGACTCCATCAGGGACACTAAAATGGGTGAGGTGTTCTGTGGGATTGTAAGTCTCCTATTCTGGAAACCAACTGCCCCAACCACCTATAAAATTTGCGAAAAAAATCATCCAACACATTCAAATCCCACATCGACAAACAGACAATTTAGAAAAAAGAACTGCAACATGGTAATAGAAAAAAAAAAAAAAGGAATCCCATAAAAGAAAGGCACAAAAAAGTTGAAAAAGGCATAGATGCCTTGGAAGTTATTAGCAGTAAGGGGTTGTAGTACCAAAAGTTGCACAGATAAAAAAAAAAATAATAATAAAAAAAAAATAAAAAAAATAAAAAAAAATTGCAAAGAATAGGATTTTCATTATTTTTCGTTTGACATAGTATTACACCCTTGAGAGCGTATTTTTATTTAGGTAATTAGACTAACCTCAGGTGCAGTTTTAGCGACTTACAAGTTAAATCATCGGATGTTACCAAAACTTTAAAATCTCGACGGAGGATAAATTACCTGTGCATGGCTAAGTTCATTCCATGGCTGTTGCATGGTGACAAGCTCCCATAAAATCACTCCAAAACTGTACACATCAGACTTCTCATTGCAGGGCTCCCCACGAAGGAATTCGGGGGCCATCCACTCGGGCTGAAATGAAAATCAAGAGAGTTTTGAGGATTCCACTGTCAATAACATGTTTCTACCTGCAAACATGTTTTACGAAAACTGCTGACTTTCTGTTGACAACATCAGAATCCTTTTTTCCAAAAATAAAAAGTAAAAATAAAATCACAAATAATGGCATTGGATGATTTTGGAGAAGTGGAACAGAAATTACAAAATTTGGACCAATTTTGAGGATTGACCAATTAGATATTGGGTTGTTTGGTAAACATAGATAAAGATTAACTGTTCTTATGAAACTAGCTAATTTAGAAAGTTGACCAATTACAAATTTGTTTATTGAGGATTGTGAAGTTGGGTTGAATGACAGAGTCATGCTAAAGTCGCGAAATATTAATTTTCCCCTGTGTGTTTGTGTGAATAAGAATATATTTACCATGACATTACAGAAATAAATAAGTAACTTGTCCCCTATTACTAATTAAATTTTAGCAATATTTTTTCTAACAAAACACATTATATTTAAAATATTTTCTTTTTGCAATGTTGTTTAAATTATTCAATAGGCTCACCATATAAATGTAGCAGTAGCTAAGTAAAAATATCAAGGCAGATGTCCTTATCGGTCATTAATAAAATTAAGTAGTTCTTACCGATCAACTCTTTACCACAAAACAAAAAAGAACTAAGCAATTTGCTAGTCAAACTGGGTAGTACGAAAAGCAATCAGCCATATGCAATGCCCAAAAGCACAAGTATCATAATAAAGCTCTCTCCTACCATCTTCTTTTTTTTTTTTTTTTTTTTTTTTTTTTGTTTTTAATAAACATCCCAGGGTGGGACAGGGTGGGATGGGGGGTTGAGGCTACACCCCCAACCTGTGAATATAATGGCCCAAATAAAAGTGGCCCTTAAATAGACATGATTTGCAGCTTGTGCAGAATGCATAGTTTGTGTGCCAAATGGCAATCGAAACATACAAGTGATTTGCAGTTTATGTGTCATTTATTATGGTAGGAAGCATATAAAAGTAATATACTCAAGTTGCACATTGCACTCATACGACAAGCTCCCTGTGTTCCTCCTATGCAACTATTGGACGGCTCACATACATATGACGATAAAGATACTACTTCTATTAGAGAGAGAGAGAGAGAGGCTTACTGTTCCAACGGCAGATTTTGATGATATGAATGTGTTTGCTTTGAACCTTGATAAGCCAAAATCACAAACCTAAAATCATGTTGTTCCGGGAATAAGATAAAAGCAGATACAGGGTTAACTAAGTAAACCTAGGTAGGAAGCACTTAGAAAATTACCTTCACAGTCCAATTCTTATCAACCAACAGATTTGGCGATTTCAGATCCGAGTGAACAATCGGTGGAGTAAGATGATGAAGATAATTGATACCCTTTGCCTAATGCAACAAAAATAACACAACTAAATTAACTAACAAAAAGTTAAAAAAGAAAATGAAAAATAAGTTGGAAAAAATTTCAATATTGTAACAAACCACATCCAGAGCCATGCGTAGTCTTCGCCTCTGATCGAAATTTTCACCACCAGCTGGCTTGTGTATCAGTCGGAATAAACTCCCTCTGCGTCCACAGAATTTCATATTACAAAGATTAGAATTCATAAAGCCTCACTTCATACCAACTATACAGTTTTGGGTTGTAGGACTTCAGAACATAATTATTACCTTGGCAAGTATTCTGTTACTATAGATAGATGTGGACGTTTCGTGACAGCACCCATGAACAGCACCACATTTGGGTGGCGTATACGTTTCATAATCGCAACCTTCAGGAAGATGTGGAGAAAAATTAAAGTAGAAAAGAATGAAGGGACAAACAATTAAAAAAGATTTTGTAAACACCAGATGCCCATGTGAACTGATAACAGCATCTTCAGAATTATTTTGGTAGCAAAATCAGAATGACACATCAAACCAGTCTTTACTACTTTAAAACATAAAAGTAATATTTTAGTTGAGCGTGATCAGCCAAGCGCGAAATGTTAAATTCGGAAAATAACAGCTCTACTGATAAGTTCTAGTACAAATCTTTTAAGTTGATAACAATCTTCATATTAACATCAATAATTAAGTTAATTGATGGTGATTAACTATTGAACAGGATTCAGGGTAAACTTACTTGATGCATAATCGGCAAATACTAGTTACAAACTTACAATGAGTAACCTATAATCTTTAAATAATTAAAACTATATATTGTCTCACATTAATTAGAAATTCGTGCAAAGTAAATAAAAAAAGATGTTTGGCAAACAATTCAATCGTCAAGCACACTATCATACCTCACGTAAGAACTCCTTCAGTTGATCTTCATGAAAATCCTGGACATTTAGAACCTTAACTGCCACATCCTGCAGTGGAAATGGATCGCAACGGAATGATGTTTTAAACATCACAAACCCCAGAATCAGATTCTGATTAAAACATAAGGAGTTAATTATTCAAGTTAGTCCGATAATTTTCTCACGAAGAGTACCCTCCAATAATCATATTAACTTCTGTAGCTAGAAGATTTGAATACAATGAAATAGATGATGCAACACTACTAAAGTAGATCAGTGAACTAAAAAACCATTGACCAAAACTAAATGAAATTTTATTACTTTGAGAAATGCAGAATTGCTATTAGCATAAAAAAGAAATGAATTACAAAACATAAAAAGAGAAAAAAAAAATGTTATATATTCCTTCTTTCCTCTTGTTTATTTAATCAATCAATCAATCACATATCTAATGCTGGTGGCTTTTGGAAGGCAAAACCATCACAATTCCATTGAAAAGAACTTCCAATGGAACAAGATGCATCCCAGCGGAATAAAGTTTGTACATAAATATTAAAGTACAGGCCAGTAAATCCAGGCATTAGGATACTAACCGATCCGTGCCATTCAGCTCGATGCACTGTGCCAAAAGATCCTATCACCATTGGGAAAAAAAAAAAAAAAAAAAAAAAAAAA